ATTTCTGCTAATTCCACTTTGTTTTGCTCCTTTCACCTTTTTCTGCAAGTTTCAGCTACCTTTTAGCTTTTTTGTGCTAAATTTAGCTTTTTCAGCTAATTAACATTTTTAAGCTCATTTCAGCTCCTTCTACCTCCTGGTAGCTTAAGCTTCTTTCTGCCTTTTCAGCTACTTTCAGCTATCATTATACTAATTTCAGCTTTTTTAGCTAATTTTCTCTTTTTTTTGTGCTAATTTCTGCTTATTTAAACCTAATTCAGCAAATATGTGTTCTTTCTGCTTTTTCTGCTAACTTTGACTTGTTCTTCCATTTCAGCTACATTTAAGCATGTTTTTTTTAGCAATACGCATTCACACTATTTTTGCAGGAAATCCAATTTCTCTAGTTTTTACTGCATTGCCATTTTAGTTCCATTTTTTTAAACAAACTATTATGGTAATATTCCAGCTGTGCTTGATGGATATGTAAAAACACATAAAACGTAAGGTATAAAATGAGGGGGACCAGAATGCACTTTTGCCCCTAGACCCAGTTGTTAGTTAATACGGCCCTGGCAAGTGCGACATCAAGCTGCTTTTATTTACCATCAACACAATATTATGCCAACACCATCTGACAAGCTATAAAATATCCTTCTTAGCAAAGCTCCTCTCAATCAATTCCAGAATAAAGTTTTTAATTAGCCCTTTTTCTAATTTTAGGAAGCCGGTTAGAAAATAATTGCCCGGCAAGTTTAGTTCCATGCACTGAAAATAGCAGGACTGATGAGCCAACACTTCATGCAACTTGGACAGGTTTCATGCACCATCCCACTCTGCTTCCACATTGATTAACTCTCAAATGGTGCGAACTCGGAGAGCGTAAGAGAACACCGGCTGCCCATCACTGTCTGAGAGCAGCTCGGAGCCGAGAGCTGGCTTCCCCGTGTGTCTGACGAGCTCTCCCCGCTGCATTCAGAGCAAAGAGCGAGCCTTCGTTGACGACTCCATCTGCACCTGCGTGGCGCCTTGTGTTGCATCACATTCAGCCCCAAAATACAAAACAATCAAAAGTGGAGGATGTTGTGTATGAGGCAAGACTGCCTGCAATCTTTCGCCTTTTCTAAATACCAGTGATGACCACAGCAGAATTGTTTTGGTGTGTGAAAGTTTTATCTGCATTTGCAGCGTAGTTAACAATCTTGGACTAAAATAAAAAAAGAATCCATGAGGGTGTTATGAAACCTGCCAAAAGCCATGGACTGAATAAATGAATATGTATTGGTGGCAACCAGCCGTAGTGCTCTAACCTCAAACAACCGGATGCTTCGTGAGACCATTAAACTGGGACAGCTCATGCACAGACAGCAAAAACAAACCCATTTGGGGAATGATTTGCTGTTTGTTGCCCAACAAAATGAAAAGAAGGCGATTGTATTCATGCCAGTCTGTTCGTCTGTAGCGTTAGCAAAATATCTCAGAAACCGCTGAAATGAATTTCATGAAACTCTAAGAAGGTAATCAATGTCAAACTGAGTATCTTCTGGAGTCAACACCATTCAAGATGGCCACCACAGCAAACTTAAACAGAAACGTGACGACGAGTTAAGCAAGTATACAGACACTACTGAAATTTGATGTGGTAGTAGCTGAGAGTCATTGCCAACACGCTGAACACTAACTGATTGCTAAAGATCTGTTTTTAAACTTTGCCATCAACCACTGGATTCAGCTGCATCTGTCTGTTAGCAAAATATACCAAGAACTATGTGATGGATTAAAAAACAGAAATGACTGCAACTCACAGAGATAAAATTTGGCGTCGCAGTAGCCGAGCCTCACCCCAGCACATATTCCGAATGCTACACATTGTGCAATATATTTCCCTAAAACTTTCATTTTAACTGCTGAAGTCAACTTAGTCTGTTAGCAAAATATCACATGACCCACTGAACAGATTTTTACAAATCTCTCTGAAAGTAATGACTGGATGAGCATCTGCAGCTGATTAATTCGTGGAGTTACACCAACTCAAGATGGCCACCACATTAGCAAAGATAAATGACTATAACTCAGTTATTGTTACAGATATTGAGCTAAAACTTGGTGTGGTAGTAGCTGAAAGTCATCTGCAGGAAGTACTCTGAGCACTAGCACGGGATCTCCCAGTATCAAGGTTCAAGACGATTTTATTGTCGTTTGCTTCACATGTGGTAAGATGTGGAACAAAATTGTGCACTCAAGGACCTAGTTACACCCAAAAACAGCAATAATATAAAGTATATTAAAGAAAAGAAGAAACAATATACAAGGAGCTAATATATATGTAGAGGTGTAGCTATACCTTTACATATATCTACAGTATATGTATAGATATACGTATACACATATCTACATGTATACATTCAGATATACATATAGATATGTGTATACATATATCTATATGTGTATACATGTATAAATATACATATATCTATACGTATAAATATATGTATCCGTATAGATATAAATGTATAGATTTACATATACATATAGATACACATTTAGCTATATGTACATGTATATCAATATGTATATGTATACATATATGTACATGTATATCAATATTATACATATATCTATATCTATAGGTATAGATATACCTATAGATATATGTATACATATAGATATACATGTATAAATATACATATATCTGTATGTATAGATTTACATATACATATGGATACACATACATATATCTATATGTATAAATTCAGATATACATATAGATATATGTATCCATATAAATATACATATATCTATAGGTATAGATAGCCTATAGATATATGTATACATATAGATATACCTGTAAAAATATACATATATCTATACATATGCATATATCTATATATATATGCATATATCTATATATATATGCATATATCTATATATGCATATATCTATCTATATCTATATCTATCTATATCTATATCTATATCTATATCTGTATAGATATACATGTATAGATACACATATACGTATAGATACACATATATCAATAGGTATAAATACAGATATACATATACATATTGATATACATGTACATATATATAGGTATAGATATACTGATAGATATATGTATGCATATAGATGTACATGTATAAATTTACATATATGTATATCTATATGTATACGTATTGATATATGTATATGTATAGATATTTGTGGTATATCAAAGATATCACACAAGATCCTGCATAACATGTTGTCATCACTCTTTGTTAAAGAAATCAGGTCTCTCTTGTAAATGAGTCCCCGAGGCTCAATGGGATTAACTTGTATAAATAAAGGTTGAATAACCTCTTATGGCTATAACTCGGTCATTTTTCACTATAAGGTGACTTTTGTTTGGCACATATTCTCGCTGTATCTCGGTACAATGATAATAAATCTTATTCTGATTCTGATTAAAAGTGAGCTTGTGATATGGTTTTCTTTAAGGAATGATAGGCCTAAAATCACATAGGAGAATGTCCAGTGCAATTCCATCCAATTCATTCCCCATAACACACAATTAATAAATAAATAAAAACACCATACAAGAAATTTCCATCTGCACTACTTATTAACCATTTGCCACCTTGTTGCTCCGGTATTTTATTTTTTCTTTTTCTTTTAAATTAACCATTTTCCAGTACAAGCACCACAAGAAAAGCATTTAATTCTATGTCAAACACTGAGAGCACCTCATAGGCCACCAGTGCCGTGTGCCTGCACACCCTTCTTGGCTATGATTCACATCCCTTGCTACATGTATGACACATCCACAGTTACACTCGGTTCCAGGACTCCTCATCTCCCAAATGGTGCCTTCTGCTCTCATTCTGGGCTTCTATGAAAAGATCTAGCGAACAACAAAAACCCAGAGTGTCCCATTTCTATGAGGAAAGCAGCAGGCACAGCAATGGACATTTAAGTTAAAAAAAAAACTGTAATAAGTTATATAACAGCTCTTTGCACACAGTGTGAGTTTAATTAAAAATGCATAATAATCCAAATAACTCCCTCTGAACTATTGCCGTTTTCCTCCCTGAAAAGACCCCCGTCTGCCTCGGTTTGATTGAATTCCTAAATGGTGATGCTCGCTGCACTCTGAAAATGGTGGCACAGAGCACACCCCTTGCATTTTTATCGACCTGCTTTGCATACTGGCTTTAAGTGGGTCAAGTGTGAAGTAACCAGAGAAAAATTCAAAACAACCGCTTTTGTGATGCATTAGCTGAACAGCTGAAGATGGCTTCTCAAGAAATGCATTTTGAGTACGAGTGCACATTAAACAAATCAATAAAAATAAAACAAACCTAGCTGTAAATCCTAACTGGTGTCTACGTTTCTACCCGTTGGGTTTTGTTGAACGTTCTAAAGCTGCATCTGTTTTCCAAGTCAGTACTGGTGACGTTTATATAAGTGACCTCCTCATTGCTTGCCAGGCAGTAATGCGGATGCAGTTGTCATGGTATAATTGCAAACGGATAACACTCATTGATTGAGCCTCATTGATTCCAATCCTCTCCAAGACACTAGCCGCCCCTCTGAGTGAAGCATTTACTGTAACTTCGGTGGATTTGTCAAAGCCCAGGTCATATTTGGCTCTTGTTAGCCGATGTATTGACTTTTCTTATCTAGCTCACCAGTTATCCCAATGGTATTCTTCATACCACCATCATTATAAGCTCCTCATACGCAGCATTATATGAACCTGACATCGTGTTTATTTGATGGCAATAACATAGTTTGGTCAATATAGTGCAATAAGTGCAAAGCAATCAAAACTAAAAGGGAATTTGCCAATGCTTGTATAAAAACTACGTGTTACATTGAATAAAATATCAGTATTGCACAACATAATGAAGACTTCAAATATCATTTATCAATTTAGAATATGATGACAGATTAAGTCTACATATTAAGAATGAATTCTCATATTCATTTTTAATATAATAATCTCTTTTATGAGAGCTCATCGAAGGCGAACTCGCCTTCCAATTCCAAAAAGTGCAGAAAGCATACAAAGACACTTTTTTTTCTCTTGGTTTTTGTTGTCATCATTTTTTTTTTTTTTAAATCTTCAAATGACGCAGTCCGTTTTGAACACTGGGGGGAGGGGGGTGTGCCACTTTCAAAATAAGCCACTTTTACAATGCAGAGCTACAGTAAATGAAACTACAAACATAAGCCTTTCCAGAGGATCATGGAGTATGATGACACAGGTAATACTGATGTAGAATCAAAGTTTGGAAAAGACATGGTAGATTATATCAATAAATACTTACATACTACAGCAGAAAATAGTCCTACACAGTTCTGATGATCTGCTGTACAGTGTTTTTGTCCAGGAGTGACTTTTATAAACTCTTTTTTTAAATTCTGATTCACAATATACCTTGTTTGTATGGTTATATTCCTGAAAATGAACTCGGATTTGCCAGTACACGTAAATTTTTTGTATTATTCGATTTTCACCATAGAAAAATAAAATTTGCATCAACAGTTAAGTGGAGCACATTTTGTTCATCCGGAAAGCTGTATCCATTCTCGCAGTGTCATGATTCAGAAATAAGATTGTTCGGCACACCCCGCCCTAACTCCATTTTGCTCATCTGTTTTTGTGCCAAGGCACCTTATGAACTGAGCCACTGTTTCAAGCAAAATCACAAGAGAAAGTGTTGCGTTCCAGTGAAGACAGCCTCGCTCAGAACTGACTAAAGGTGGTCTGTTTCTCCAAGACTTCGAGGTAATCGGGCTCAGACTGTAATTTAGCTTTTAGCTCCAAATACTCGTTCCTGTTGGGTTCCACATAAACAGTACTGGGTGCTGTGCCATAGAGCACTGTTTCTCTTATTCGATCCGGGTGCAAGAACTGTCGTCTGACATCAAAATTTGGGTTGTATGTGTATGCCACTGGCCCAGAGTACTTGTACTCTAAGCTGGCACCTACTGGGATAGATGGGATGGATTGGTGGGGGGACTGCTTATCAGGCTCAAGGATTCCTCGGAAGAAATGATCTGCGTCCTGAACAGGGGAGGGGTTATCACGTGGCTCAATGGTGCTTACGCTGTAGGCAGGGCTCCTCATTGTACTACTATCCCTCTCCTCATCAGGGGTATTCCTGTATGTTACCTTAAGCTCATGCAGGTCACGGTAATCCTCCACTGTGTTCCCTTCCCGTGACCTGTAAATGGGATTTTTGCACATGTGGCCCATGGGATGGGGGATGTACTCATAAACGTGACCAGCGGGGGCTTTGACTTTAGGGCCAGAACGGTTGCTGTAGAGGCTGTATTGCAAGTTAAAAGAGCTGACATCGGAGTTGTTGGTGCTAGTGCGGTCACTCTGCGACTTCTTGCGTCTTTTCATCACCACCACAAAGAGCCCCGCTGCCACAAACACAGACATGATGAAAACAAGCAGGAGACTGAGGATGAGGACAGAAAGGGGAACTGTGCTGCTGAGGGTGTTAAGCTTCTGGGGAGCGTCTGTTGTAACAATGGGGTTGTCCATGGGCTCGTCCGTGGGGGGAGTGGGTGACACGTAAGCATCAGAGTAGTCTGGACACAGCTGCTCCGATTGGATTGAACGCAGATCCATCCCTGTGTGACGTTTCGGCATCTCACACACAACCTCGTTAACCACAGTGCCTGCACTGAGCTGCTCGAGCCAGATCTTCATCCCTACTATGTCACAGGAACAGTCCCAGGGGTTTTCAAACAGATCTATCTGCACAAGCAACTTCAACTGATCCAGTACCCCACTCACTGGCAGGTTTTGGAACTGGTTGTTGCGCAGATTAAGCCTCGACAGAGAGAGGCTGGAAAAGATGCCCACAGGTAAAGTTTTAAGGAGGTTGTTGTTGAGGAAAAGCAGCTGGAGATTTGGGAGGTAACGGAAAGCGCCTGCATCCACCTCCTTGATTTTGTTGTACTCTAAATAAAGATACTGCAAGTTTTGCAAACCAAAAAACATCTCCCCCGTGAGCCTGTCCATGAGATTGCCATTTAAATACAGCCGACGCAGGTTGGTTAAATCCTCAAAAGCTCGGTCATGGATCAGAGTTATCCTGTTGTTTCCCAGGTGAAGCAAATCCAATCCGGTGGCATCTAGAAAATCTGATCTCCGTACGACAGGGATGTAATTTCCAGTGAGATACATTTTTTTAGGGTTGTATGGCTTGGGTTTTAGATCAGAAATGCTCTCAATCTTTCTCTCTTGGCAGTTGACATTTAACCCAATTTCAGAAATCTGCAGATTACACGTGCAGGCAGTGGGGCAGTCCAAAGGCACAGGAGATTTGGTCTGAAAAGCAATGATGGGGCCATAGTTGTATGGGTTCCCGCCCGGTAATCGAGAAGTGGGCTTTATCCGAGTTCTGTTAAATTGCCGTGTGCCCTTGGTAGGCCTGGAGGAGGACCTGAAAACGGCTGAAGAGGTGGCAGAGGCCGTCACAGCAGCTGGAGTGGTCTGATAATATCCATTGGTGCTGCTAGGGGGTGCAGGCCTCACCGTGTCTTCCAAAGGTCTGCGTGGGCAGAGTTCCTGTTTGGACACCTCATCCAGGTCCCTGCCGTGGAGCCTGAACGGGGTCTCGCACACCACCTCTCCCACCAGAGCCGTGTAGGCTATGCTCTCCAGCCAGGCCTTTAAAGCAATGAGCTCACAGGAACAATTCCACGGATTCTCCTCGAGTTGTAATTCCACGACTTTGTCCATGTGCTCCAGCAGACCAATGTAGGGGAACATTTTTAAGCGGTTACCCCTAAGATCCAAGTGCGTAAGGGGAACATTCCGAAATATATTCATGGGGAGGGCAGAGAGCAAGTTGTCATTCAAAATCATTACAGTTAGTTGGTGTAGTTTGCTCAAGGTATTGGGCTCTATAATGGTAATGTAATTATAATCAATCTGTAGGTATTCCAAACTTTCCAATCCTGCAAAGGTGTCATCCCTTAGAACATCGATCTTGTTGTTGTTCAGGTGCAACCTTTTTAATCCCTGGAGTCCGTTGAAGGCACCCGACTCTAACTCGGAGATATCATTGTTCCCCAAGTGCAAGATGGTCACCCCGGTGTAATTGATGAAATCATTGACCGACAGCTTCTTCAGGAGGTTCCCTGTCAGCAGGAGGTGGTACGTGGAGAAATGAACCGGGCTGATCTCCGTCAGTCTGATAATACCCCGGTTCTCACAGCTCACCATCAGGATCCCTTCCTTCTCCTCGCACGTGCACAGGCTTCGGCAGATCTCCCCATAATTGTCATACATCTCAACCAGCCTCAGAGATGATGCAATCAGAAGGATTATTTTCGGGATGCAGATATGCATTTTTTCGGGGAGAAGATGCCCCAGCTCTCACTCGAGTGCGGTGTCAGTGTGAGGTGTCATCTAAGGAGGGAGAAACAGAGAAGAAAGAGAAAAAAAAAACTAGGATGGGTTCTGTTTTTGAACGAGCACAGGAAAAGCACGTGACACGTGAAACATTTCTGAAATGCACAGTTGACTCTAAAATGAGCAGAGCCCTATGAGCATTCATGACTGAAGACCCGTCACTGTTTGTTCGGCGTGCAGACGCGTTAAGTCCACCTGCGTTAAACGCCTTCCAAAGACCGTTAACAAAACTCCCAGCGGTGGATGGCCACTGCGCATTTTTAATTGCTTGCCTGAATTCATCTCGCAAAGACAGAAAAAAGGGGAAAAAGACGGGGGGGGGGGGGGGGGCGCTGACTACCGACATACAGATTGAATGCGTCCAATCAATCGGTTTGTTGGCTCTAAAGCTGCACGAAAAATCATAATCACCTTTACGAAACCTCAGCCACCCCTGCTGAACAAAACTGTGCTGAAACTGTCGAATACCCCCCGACCCGTCTACCCGCCCCCCCCCCCCCCCCCATCTACCCCCACCACCTATAAGCAAACAACTGAGATGTATATTAAACAAATTGAGAGGTAAATAGTAATAATAACGTTAATAATACAGTCCCTGTTCATGTTAAAAATATGGCCTGCTGTAGAGAATAAGCCTACAAGTCTTTCTTCTACCCACGGGTGGAAGTGGGGGGGGGGGGGGGGGAAAGGAAGGAGAGAAGTTGATCAAAGCCAGTGAGGAGATGTTTGGTTGCATTTTGAGGAGGAGTGGAGAACTATATGATCAAATGTTCCTGTGCCGGCTAGAACGTTACATACGGCTCTGCTTGGATCTTCCTCTCCTTGCAGATTTGTGCACACAACAGCCCACGCATCTCATCTGAGACTCATTTTAATGCGCAGGGGCACCTACAGCTGATAATCTGAAAATAATAAAGGGGGGGGGGGGGTAACCGCGGGCACCTTTCCAAAAACTGTCTGCTGTTTCTAAATCGGATCAACTTCTAAATCGGTGGTGCAGCTGAGGACAGAGAAAGGGGGGAAAAAAACAGGATGGTTTCAGCACCACGGACAGCTCCACGAGCTCTGCTCCGTGGAAACAGAAATAAATGTGGAGAATGTGTATATAAATTCGGGGTGGGGGGGGGGGGGGGGTGCTGTTGTCTTACCGTGTCAATCCAAACGAACGCAAAGGCATCCCGGAAAATAGCGGATATGCCCCCGTTTTTCTCCAGCGACGAAGAAAACATGGATTTTTCTCTCCCTTTTTTCCCCAGTGGTTCCACTCACACCGTCCACTGGAATACAAAAACATTAAAAGAAACGGGAGAGGGGGGAAAAAATACAAAATAATAATAATAATAAAAAAAGAAGAAGTCAAGTCTCCTCGACGTTTAGCTCCATACAACCAGGCAGCAGAGAGCGCGCGCGCATACGGTTCTCATTCACGCCAGCTCGGCTCCTGAGCAGCTGAAATGAGCAGAGTCATCTCGGAAAAGCAGCCAGAACCAAAGTTCGGACATGGTCAAGCAGAAAGGCTGGAGAAGGAGACGGTGGAGCGGCGGTAATCCCACATCACAGCGGACTTGACTTTCATCCGCGAGCACTGATGAAAAGCAGGAGGCACGACTCCCCCACCTCCCTCCTTCCCTCCCCTCACAGTTCTATGAACACATCTGCCCAAGGTCTCTTTATTTCAGCCGCTCTGAAATGACTGGAGATCAGTCTTCTTCTGTTTCCTGCTCTTCAGCTGCAATGATCCGGTCTCCGCAGCTTCTGATCCAGCTCATATTCCTGAGATCTGTCCGCACTGACGCCTTCAACTAGTGGAACTTGATCCAGGTTGGCGCAGACCCCCCCCTTCCCCACCCGCAGCGGTGATGTGGAACAACGACGGTCCGAAAAATCACCTCGCATCCTCTGCATGCACGCGCTCTCGGGGACTGTGTGGCGCGGGAATGGAAATCAATTTCTTGTGTGCAATAGTCTTAAAGGCGGGTATGGTGCTGTGGGGGAGGATGGGTGGGAAAGGGGTGGGGGGGTCGGAGGGAGGATGGAAGGAAAGACCCGCAGAGGGCAGCACTATGATGTTAAAAAAAAAAAAAAAGGATAAATAAATAAGAAGGACCTCGTTGTGTGTTTCTCCAACAGCAACAAGCTTTTGATTTGTTACTTGGCTTGAACCCTTTTCTGCAGGTGGACACATCAAACACCCCCCGTGTCTCGCTGTTCATGTGCGTCTGTTAGCAAAATATCTCACGAACCGCTGGACTGATTTTAATTAAACTTGCACAAAGTATTTACTGGATGCATATCTACGATTGATTAACTTTTGGAGTCAACCTGATTTCATTTGGCTGCAAGAGAACACCGAACTTGCAAGACACATAAATGGCTAGAACACAATCATTTTAAAATATTTTGAGCTGAAATTTAGTGTGCTACTAGCTGAGACTGAGCCACAACAAATGCTTGAAGATCTAACGGGTTGCACAATATATTAACTTTAAACTGTAGCTCTGTAGTTGACAGTTTCATGAACCACATGGTGGGTCATTGGATGCACATCTTTAGCAAATTACCTTCAAAGGATAGCATGAAAATCAAGATTACTACATACAGCTGACTTTGAAAAACATAAAAATGTCTAAAACTTTAATTTTTTGCATATATTGAGCCAACATTTGGTTTGGTAGTGGTTAAAAGTCAAAGCACACTATGTCAATGAATCATACACCTTTTAAGTTCAGTTGTATAGACGAGCTAACTGCTGGTCTGAGAGCGGGGGTGGTGGTGGTGGGGGATTAGCTAAAATATAAAAATTAGCACAAAAAGAGCTACATAGTAGCTGAAATAGAGAAAGCTGAAACTGGCAGAAATAATGTGAAAGGCGCATAAGCTGAAATTAAGAGAAATAAGTTAATTAGCCTGTATGTATCAGAAATTACCACAAAAAATAAATGTATCTGAAAACAGCTGAAATTAGCTTAAACAATGCTGAAATGTAGCTGAAATAGAAGAGCAAGCCTGCATTAGCAGAATAAATCAATAGTAGATTTAAATAAGCAGAAATTGGGAAATTAGCTAAAAAAAATAGCATAAAAGTAGCTGAAAAAGCAGAAAGAAGCATAAACAATCAGAAGGAAGTGGACGGAGCTGAAATAAACAGAAAAAGAAAAAAAAAAACTTTGGAATTAGCAGAAAAAGCTAAATTTAACATAAAACGGCTAAATAATAGCTGAAATAGCAGAGAACGCTAAAGAAGAAGCTATATTCAGCGTCGCACGCAGGTAAAACAGGAAGTGGTTTATTTTGTCAGCTTCATGTAACCCTTTTCCTAAACCTAACCCAGACCCTTTACTCTGAATTTAGCCTCATGAGCCTATTATCAGTGCTAACAATGTACCTTTAAACCTACTAGGAGGTACAGGAGGGGCAGCCTGAATGCTACATATGGGGATGATAACTGATAATAGTCCATTTAATGGCTGATAACATTCAAAGCGGCAGCCAGCTGATCCATTATGAGTAGATGCTATTTATAAGACTGTTTGTTGCAGCTCTTCAGACTGAAGAGGTCTTTTGGATAAAAGACAAAATGTTTCAACAAGAATAATCTGTCCAGAGGTCCCGACTTTGTTTATTTATTTATTTTACCTGGATTATTGAGCATGCATCAGGACACACGGATTTAAAAAGATTTTTACGTGGATCTGCTCAGACTAGCTGTATCTCCTGAGCCTGGCCAAACAAAATTACCAATCTCTCAAAACTGAGCTTGTTTTTACAGTGGTTTATAACAGGGGACACTGGCATACAGCTTATTTATTTAAATTAGGTACAACATTTGACATAGTGTCATTTTTTTTTTACAGTTTAGTTGCTTTAGCACATAGAACCGGACTCCCTCTGCCCCGCCGGCTGCACCAAGAAATTATGTTCATGGAAGTTACGAACAATATATATATATATATATATATATATATATATATATATATATATATATATATATATATAGGTAAGTAAGATGCTTATTAATCATCACCTGTACACTGATTTCTACTTTGAACGGGTTTGATCCAGTGGTGTAGTCTATGTGATACTCAGAGTATGTATACCCACTAGAAAAGCTTAAGAATTTCAGTATATCCACTTAAAAGTGCCCAATGATTCATGACATATTAAACACGTGTCATGAGGCGATACGTTAAATAGCAGTTAAACGCTTCCGTAACAATCTATTAGTATGCGTCGCGTTGCTTTGATACCGTTTATAAATTCTATAACATGTTTTTAATACAGAGCCAACAAAGTTTGTTGTTCATTTATTCAAATATAAGCATCAGAGAAATTTGGAAATGTTCAATTTGCTTAAAAATCTAAATAAATGGACGACTGCCTTGTACTAACCAGTGTACTTTGGTTTCCAGGCACAGTATACCCACTACAAAAGCGTAGACTACATCGCTGGTCTGATCGGTCTCTTTAAGCAGTTATTACCTGAGTGGAGTGGGCGTTCAAGTTGTTGCACATAATTAAGATCAAGAAAGCTCATATATATCTCTCAGGGAAAACCTTCGCAAATTCCCGTGGATTAAACCTATAGCGCCTGCAAACACACATTTACAAGAGATCTCTGTTCAGAGAATTGAATTTACTGTAGGATTAAGCCTAATCCAGTTTTGCACCAAATACTCCAGCCCACTAATACTGCCGTGATGCTGTAAGAGCTTCGTATATTTATTTTTTTTTCATTTTTTTAAACCAAATCACGGTTAATTTGGACCTTATTTGTTAAAAGAGCAAGCGGAGTCAAAGCCAACGCTGCCCCCTCGCCCTCCCCTCAAGAACTTTTCCAAGCACTTTAACTTTAAGCCTGAACTGCAAATCATATTAAATCGAGCAGATGGTGGGGCGCCATGTCCAAAGAGATTTCCCACTTAGTCACTATTGTGTGGTAATAATTTGACTCTTATGCTCTCTTCTGCACGCGGGGAGCGACAATA